TTGCAGAGCCTAAATAAAGGAGGGACAGGCGGCAGCAGCCGGGACGCGCCGGGCATGGGCGCTGGGGTGGGGGCAGTTTTGGCCACCTCGGGGGGGCCCTGCGGACCCTCCGGGGAGGGTACCTGTGCCCAGCGGTGCCGCCGTGGCGAGAGCGGTGCCGAGGGACTGCCCAGAGGCCGGGACAGGTCCTGGCCCAGCCGGGCCCTTCTGCCCCTGGGAAAATCTTCAGCCTGTCTTTGAGAAGACGGCAGCGGTGGCCGGGACGCTGCTAAGAAATCCCAGCGCTGCTGCCTGGAGGGAACCAGTGCGGGTGCCTCTGCCAGCCCGCCCCGCAGCTCTCCTGGGCTTGCGGGCTGCTCCCGGGAGGCTGGAAGCATGGAAGAGTTTTAGCAGGAGCATAAATGGGGGCAAATATCTGCAAGGTGTGATTTTTAACAACAAAAAAAAAAAATTGTCGTTTCACATGTGGGCAAAAGCCATTTTCCTGCCATGCTGCAGAAGCTGTTACCAGGGAGGAGCGGAGAGCGGACAGAAGGACAGGAGGAGGAGGAGGAGGAGGAGGAAGAGGAGGAGGAGGTGAGGGTGCCCTGAGGGAGTCGGCTGTGGCAGGGCACCCCCACGCTTTGCTCGCGCGGCCGCGGGGCGTGGGTGCGGGCGGGCGCGTGGGCGAAGGTGCCACGGGACGGGACGGGTGCGGCTCTCCGGGCTCTCTCCGTCCTTCTCCATCATTAACTTGCTCTCGGAATAACCAGCCAGCCGCTCCCCGCGGCTCCACTGACAGCCCTGGGAGACCTCTCAGCCAGGCCGGGCGCCCTTTTGCCCTGTTGCCTGCACCCACCTAGTTCACTACTCGAACTTGCAAAGCTTCGGGAGAAAAAAACGGGGTTTGGTGAAGTCCGAAGCCGCTGGCTCCCCCCTGCCCGTCTCTGCAGCCCCTCTGGGGGCCGAGCCCCCCAAGCCCTGGCCCGGCTGCCTGCCCCCTCGCACGGCGACACCCAGCTGTTTACAAAAAATCCTGGCGGGGAGCTGGGAGCAGGGGGGACACGCTCCGGGGCAGCGGGGGTGCTCGGCAGCGGGTGGGGAGCCCTCCCGCAGCAAACACCCCCCCCCCCCCCCCGAGCCCCCCTTTTTTTTAGAGGTGCAGCAAGGGGGAGGCGCTTTGGCCTCGTCGAAGATTTGCGAGAACACACGTGTGTTTGCTCATGAAATGATGACCCAATTGCACGTTTTGGAGTTCGCCATGAATGTTTTATTAGTGAGTCATTTTCTTAGCCATACTTCAACCGTAGCTTTTGCACGCAAAATTTAGCAGATGTCTGATTTCATCTTGAGAGGCTTTGAGATTACACTGTTGGTTCCTTGACAAAGAGTAGCTAGGGATGCCAAGCAGTTGGTTTCCAAAGCTTTGGGACTGCATTTGATCCTTATCTTTAAAAAAAAAAAAAGCCTTATTCATGGGGAAAACAGAAACCGCCACAGAAGGACATGGCTCTTCTTGCCTTGTGGCTGTTGCAAAAATGCCGGGTCTTCAGATTTTCATGGAGAGTATCCGGGTGGGTTTTCTCCTTGTTCATCCCCTGTGTTGTCCCATTTCTGTATTATATTTAAATAAAGGAGTGACGGTGTTGGTGGAGGAGCAGCCGAAATAAAGCATGTTCCCAGGGAAATGAAAATCCTCAGTGCAGGGAAAATAACCCTGGTGATTTCTGGGCCCTGGGCACCTGTGTAGAAGATCTGGGCGGGATGGCATCCTGGAAGAAAATTTTGAAAATCCCCAATACATGTATACAAACAAAAATCCTTTCCCTCTCAGCCATTAGCTCTTCTCAGCGCTGGCCGGTAACTCTGCCTGATCTGCAGGATGGGACGTGTGGGGGTGTGTGTCCGAGGAGGGTTCCAGCTGAAGTGACATCACTGGAATCGGTGAAGTCAACAGCAATAATGGCTAATTTTCCTTTGCTGAGGTTTATGGAAAATTTTCTCTTGGTTTCTTCAAGTTCTTTGCTTCTACTTCATGCCCTAAATAACGGAATGAACTGGCCCAAGAGTTACTTTCAAGGGAGGGAGAGGTGCTCCAAGTACTGTGTTACCACCAGGAGGAAAAAGCACCGCTGGCTGAGCCGAGCCCGGGCCGGCTGATTCCCCTCTGTGCTCGCCAGGTTCGCGCGAAGAGACGGCCGAAAAGAAATTGCCAGGCCTGCTGCTGCTTGGGACAGAGTCGCAACCGGGGCGCTGGAGGCAGCAGCGGGGTCGGCCCCGCCGCCCGCGCTGAGCATCGCCACGGAGGGCGGCCAGCAGGGCAGCTGGGCACGGACAGACGGACGCCAGCGTGGAGGCAAGGCGCGGACGGTCTGACATGGATACACGGGGGGCAGGGGGCTTCGGGGCGGGGAAAGTGATTTCAAGAAGCCAAGGAACAGACAGAAACCACAGTAAAGTTGTTCTACTTAAAAACAAAGGGGGGGAAAAAAAAAAAAAAAAAGCTCCCACCAAATACTTACGTAAAATTAAATACCTTTTGGTTATATCCTTTTCAAATTCCTTATTTCCAGGCGCATGAGGCTGTGGCAGACGATTGACACCGCAGGCACGTCGTACGTGTGTTTGCACGGAGCAGAGGCAGGGTAAGTAAGGAGCCTGAGAAGCTGGACGCGCTCAAGGGAGACACAATAAAAACCCTCTCACACTAGAAAAGAGCTGGCACTTTATTAACATTTTGTAACTAATAAATACATTACCGACAGCCAATAAATTATTACAATAACTAATGCTCTATTAAACCAATGGACAGTCACTCTTCGTACAAAATTACAGTTAATACAGTTTGGGCCATCAAACATGCAGGAGAAACGATTCAGCGGGGAACCAGCAAAAGGAAAATCGTGGCGGCCTCCGGCGATCCTTCAGGAAGAAATGTGGTGGGGAGCGGGGAGCCCAGAGGCAGGGTGATGGTCACTGTTCCCTTGTCGAGCTGAAGGTGGGAAGGGGAGGTGGGGGGAATAGGGCTGAGGGTGTTAAATCAGGGACTGGGCTATTTAACGGGGCAATGGCTGGTCTTTAGACATCCCTATTTGCTTGCCCGGCGCCACCGGGTAGCTCCAGCACTGGAAAAGCTGGTGAGACTCAGGCAATGCTGAAAATCCTGCTGGTGCCTGCTACGATCTCCTCTCCTCACCTGGACCAGGGGGTTTAGACCCGGAGCCACTTGCCTGCTCTACAGGACAGGCAGGATTTGGTCTCGACATTAATTCCCAAGACACGGGGTGGGAGAGGGGCCGGGGCGGCGAGTGTCGGGCCGGCTCCCGGCCCTCCACCTCCTGCCTGGCTCTCTCCTCCCCACGCCTGCTGCACCCACGGAGAACTGAGCTCCCCTCTCTGGGACACGGGGATGCTTTTGCCCTGTCTCCAGCCCAGCTCCCTCCCCTCCCCCTCTGCTTGCAGGGTGCCAGCCAGGAGGCTTTGGTCTTCCTCCTCCTATTAACGGAGCAGTGTTTAAGGGTCGTACTTGCTCATGTTCGCTAGCTAGCCTTTGCAGCACAAACAAAGATCTCACAGGCTGCTGGTTCAGACACGAGCGGTCCTGTGAGAAGTCCCTCTCCATAACCACGTTCTCAGTCTTATATAGGTCATGTACCTATATCTGTCAGCATCCATTATCTCACGTCATTGCAGGAGCTCAGAAATGACAACGTACTCGGGGGGTGCTTTGGGAGAGGGTTTCTGTCTGCTCTCTCCTCCGGGGAGGTAGAGGCAAGCTCCTGGTTCATTCTTTTGTGGCCACCCGGACCACGTCTCTGATTTCTCGTGTGAGAGTTGGGGATGCCAGCGTGTGGCGGGTTTGGGTGGTTCAGGACGATGCTCAGCAGCACCATCTCTAACTGACCTCGACGCTGCTGGCGTCAGATCGTTACCGAGTGTTAGAGTCTCCTTGGAAATGCTTGTGGAGTTTTTGGTTGTAAGCCTGAAGACAAACCTGGCCCATGACAAAAACACAAACACACTAGTAATAAGCTTCTCTAATCGACTTGACAAACAGCCAGCCTTGTTCCCAGGAACTCAGCAACTCTCCCTGGCTCCAGGAGATTTTTTGGCCACAAAATACTCGGATGCGTCGCACGGGCTAACAGTGTCCCTTTTACAGCACCAACTGCAAAATCCCCCGTGGGGGCCGTCTGCCACCCGCAGCTGAACCCCGTGCCCCGCCGAGCTGCAGAGCGGGGGGCTGCCCGGTGCTTTACGCAGCAGCGACTGCGCGCCCAGGGACGTTTTGGCAAAAGGACATCTTGTGTGTCCCACCCCGGCCTCTCGGAGATCGCATTCCTGGCCTGAGAACAAAGTCTGTTCCCTTGCAGGCAAGCACTGCGCTCGTGCCACGATAGATTAAAACCACCAGATACATTTTAATGTACCTTACAGCATAAACCGCTCTCATGAATACTTTTAGCGTCCTGTGAAACAAAATCACATCTACCGAGGAGGCATGGCAGCCTCCTCCTGAGGATGCTGACCGCTCCGCGGAGGGACAGGCTGGCCAGCCACCCAGGAAAGCTGGCTGAAGGCAAGAAGCTCATTCTCATACGAAACTCCGGAGAGAGATGTCGTTGGAAGAATGTCTGGGAGGGCGGTGGCAGGAAGGTGCCCGACCCCTCGGCAGAGCCGGCCGGGCCCCGCGGGAGGGCCGGGCAGCGGGGACAGCCCCGCACCAGCAGCCGGAGGGGCCAGATGGCCTCGCCGTGCAGTCCTGCTGCCCGGCCGCTCGGCAGGGCTCCCCCGGCCGTAGGTAAAAGCGGGACTGGGAACTCTATTTGCCGAAGAAAAAACTGGCCTTTGAAGTATGTGGCTGTATTTTAAGGTGTGCTTTCCCGGTGCGGGGTTATTGCTAGCTCTAACAAGCCCAGCTACTGCATCCTCCCAAGGAGCACGGTGCTCTGCGGCTCAACCCTGCAGCCTCATCTACAGGCTCGTTTCAAGGCTTTCCTTCTACAGGTTTATTTATTTCATTGAAATTGTTGCTTAAGTAAAGGAGTTATTTGCGTTTTTTTTTTTTTTGTCTCAGAGCTCCACACCTGACCCTCTCATTGCCGATGGAGCAAGCAGGGAGGGCTTCCTTCTTTCTTTTTGCTGCTGTCTGAGGCTCATCGCAAGTTCCTAATGCTGCTTTCAATGCAACATCCCTCAGATGCTGCTGCTGGACAAGTGACCTGAGTCATTAAAAACCTCCTGCATCCCCCAAAGGGCACCTTTTGCAAATCCCCACATTAGCTTTGCAGGGCAGCAGGGTGTATATGCAGCTGTTTGAATTCTGTGCTTTTAAAACACGTCCCCCGTGCCCTGGTATGATTTCTGACGCAGCTGTACCAGTTGCAACGTCCCTGCAAGGTGGAGACTGCAAATTAAACACAACTCAGGGCCTCTGAGGCTCTGGATTTGGAGCACTGCAACTGCAAAGTACAAGGGGCTATTAAGAAGAGGGCTTTGGAAAGCAGGCAATGTATTTCAAGGTCCTCTTTCTAGGCAATTGCTGCAAGGATTGCTGGTGTTTAGAAAAAGCACAGGGCAAAAGATTGCCAGCAGAAGGCACATCTGTCAGAAAAGGCTTGGGAGGATGGAGAAAGCCAGCAGTGAGTAATGCTTTGGCAGGCGTTCTGGAGACAAAAATCTGTACACGGCCATCAAGCGGGAGAAACGGTAGTGTTTAACACTGGAAGCATTTCATCTTCCAAATGCCGTTTCCAGCCTTTGTCAGTGAATCCTCACGACACTCGTGTGAGAGAGGAAATGTCAGCAGCAGCAGCTGAAATGGAGCTTTAGACGTACAAGACGCCGAAGAAAAATGAAAGAAAAGGTTCTGTGTGTCAGCATTTCCTCCTCTTTTTCTCCCTTTTCTCCCCGTGGATCACCAGCCGTTGGCTGTCCCCAGCGTGCTGGGGAACCAGCCGGAGCTGCGGAGGGGCTGGGGCGGGAGGGGCTCTGGTTCTGGTTACCTGAACCCAGCCCGGAGCCCGGCACAACCGGTGACTCAGCTGCATTTGGCAAAGTTTGGGATCGAGTTAATTTAAATTGTCTTTACCAAAATATTTCTGTGCGCTTTATGCTGGGAACTCCTGAAGCCTTGGCTCAGTGCTGCCTTCACTGGGAACTGCGTCTGTTACTTATCTGCCTGGATAAAATGTCACCCGCAGCGAGGGGTGGAAACAGAAAATCTCCCAAATTCTACTTCTTCTGATCAAACTCTTGTGACAGAGCTTAGTTAAGACCTGCCTCGCTGCCAGTGCGAGCCACCAGCGCACCACAGCACACCGGCCCGGCGCTGCGCTCTGGGTCTGGCAGTTACGTACACTTTATGTACTAAATGTAACTAACGTTCGGCTTCTCAGCCCTCATTTTGACACTCAATGCACATCTGGATGCTAAGTGTTCCTGGTGGGACTTGGCTGCCCCCAGGGGACAAGCTCTAGGAGCATCCCTGTCCCTCCAGCTAATTCCCTGCCCCTCCTGCCGCAGATCGGCTGGTCCCTTCCGAGGAACCAGAGCACTGGGCAGCTCCCCCTGGGAATCCTTTCTTTGGAAAGCCTTCCCATTGACTCTGAAAATCCAAAGCTCAACCAAACGCAATGACACGCGCAGGTCTTGTGTTCAGTGTTCCTTTGGTTTACGGTTGTAGAGCAGAGCGTGCCGGCGTCCAAGGGAGCTGGGAGAGGGGCTGGGACCCGGGAGAAGACGTGCGGGTGGGATGTGGTGTGAGGAGCAGAGAGGGGCTCCTGGCTTTGCTGGCTGGCCAGCTCTGGGCAGGGGGCTGATGCTGCCAGAGGTATTTTAAGGCTGAGATGGTGAAGAGAAAGGTGGGTACTCACTTGTGCCAGAGCAGGGGAGGCAGAGGCCTGGCGTTATTGCTGTTAGTGTCCAGCAGAGCAGCAGTGGGTCCTCACTGTACAGTACTAAACACAGTTTTATCATTTAATGCTATTTAGGGGGTTACTGACACAGCTGCCAACCACGCTGGGCTGCGAGCTGGTTAGATGGGTCAGAGCCACTTTGTTTTCCTCCTGGTTTGCCCGAGGGTGCTCCCACTCACGTCCCTGGCTGGGGTTTTGTTTAAATCCCTGCCTGGGTTTTTTTTCCCGGCAGACCACAACCTCTGATGAGGACTCTCCTCCAGCTCCCAGGCGCCCTCCTCCTCTTCCTGTCCTCCCTGCTGCATCAACCTGCCTCATCTCCCTTCTGCAACATCTCTCTCAAACTGTACCCCGCCAACAACCTCCTCCACCGCTCCTCTCCGCCCGTGACACCGTACCTGCTCCTTTCCCTGCCTCCCTCACAGCGACGCTCACCCGGCCCCTGCCCTTCGGGCTGTGCTGCTTTAGGCTGCTCTCACACCATCTCTCCTAGACAGGCACGGTGAGAAAAGAGATATTGTCCCTCCCAGGCATGGCACTGGAGAAAAATCAGACCTCCCGAGACCTGAAAGGCACCCCTAGCTCAGGTTCCCAAGAGAGGACAGCTGAACTTGTGGCTGTGCTGGAAAGGCTCATGTTTTCCAGGATCATGGACTTTTAAGAGAGGCAGTGAAGAGGCAGGCATCAGCGTTGCCTACCCGTCCCCAGGTGCCACGCCGAGTGGGACCTCCGAGGCGGCTGTCTCACCCAGACACCCAACAAGCTATCAGGGTGGACATCGAAGGGTCCCTCCGTGCTCCCAGAGGTGACACCCCACCCCTCACACCCACCTCTGCCTTCGCCCCGGCGGCACCCGGCGCTCTTGGTGATGGCAGGCAGACGGGCACACGTACCCCAGCCCGGCCGCGTTTCTCCTCCCCTTTGCGCCCCACATTTTGCTGTGCTGGGTGCCACCCTTACCGTTTCCACAGCTCCACCCCTGCCCTTCCTTCCTCCCTTCCCTCTCTTCCTCACGCTTTTCCTTCCTACTCCATCACTTGGCTCAAATCAGCTCCCTGTGCCCTCCCTTGCCACTACACGGCCAGTATAAACCATCCCTCTCGCTTGACATGCTGGTAAAGAGATGCCCTGACTGCAGGCACCAAGCCTGGAGCTGTCTCGGGTGCCCAGGCAGGAGATGACGCAGGCAAGCTTGGCCAAGGAGGCTCAGAGTGCAAGGTTGGGGCTTCTCAAGGGTCTGTAGGTGCCCGCCGTGCGCCGAAGAGCCGGGAGGCTCCTGCACACCTTGCTGTCACCCCAGCAGGGTGAGGTCTCCCAAAGCACCTCTCCGCTTTCCGGGTACTCGAAGGCCAAACTCTGCCTACAAGAAGCCAGGGCTAAATATTTTTGGTGCACCCCAGCTGAAGCTTGGAAAGAGACGCTGTGCGTCTCTGCCGGCGCATCGGTCGTGCCGAGACCCCTTAGGGCGGGAGGTGCTTTGGGAAAGGTGGCTGGGTCCCCAGGCTGGCACCCCCCCGTGCAGGGTCCCCCCCCCCCCCCCAGGACACCGTCCTGGGGCATCCTGGCTGCCTACGCTCCCGGGGTCCCAGCCCAGCCGCCGCCGCCCCGCGCACCCAGCCAACAACCGGGTTACTGAAACCACTAGGCAAACGTGAACATTAATTTTGAAAAACTTGAGGTAAAACTGTTACCGGTAACGAATGCTTTTAGACAAGGCTTAGTAGGTTTTGTTACTGCGTCTGTCTCGGACACCAGCAGAACTCGATATGGCTGTTTGACTTGTTCCAATAGCTGTCTGGAAAAAAGGAGGATGTACAAACCCAAGCTGCGGCCGCTGCGTTCAACACTGACCCCTCCAGCCGTGGGCTAGGAACTGGAGCCGTAAGGTACCCTCAAAATGTTCATGTTGTATCTAGCACTTCCCAAAGGAAGAGTGTTTTTTAAAAAAGAGATAAATAATGAGGAGAATTAAAAATATCCCTTAATTTCAAGGAAAAAAAAGAAAAAGTTTCAGTTCCAAACTACACTGTTGCTGACAGGTATTTTAAGGCTTTGATTTTTTTTCTTTTTTTAAAACTGAAGTATTTTTGTCTTTTGGCAGTTGAAATGCACTTTGTGGGAAACACGTTAGCTCCCTCTACAGCACTGTGAATTGGAACGGAGGAGTAGAATGCGGCAGCAAGGGAATGAACCAAAAATAAACCAAAATAAAATAAAACGGGGCTGGGGAAAGCAGGACTTGCTGCAAAGTTTTCTGGGACAGGAGAAGGGATTTATGTATTTCTTCCTCATCGTCTTCCGAGGAGGAAAAAAAGGAAAGAGAGAGGACCTGTCCGCGGGACCGGCGGATGCTCCCGGCGGGCGCGAGGAGAGGAGGGGAGGGGAGGGCTTTAGTAGAGTCCGCATCCCCGCAGGTTGTTGGCGATGATGACATCCGTGACGGCGTCGAAGACGAACTGGATGTTGTTGGTGTCGGTGGCGCAGGTGATGTGCGTGTAGATCTCCTTGTTGGGGGACTTGTTCTTGCTCTCGTACTGAGCCTGGATGTAAGCCACCGCCTCTGTGAAAGAGTTGGGGCCTATAAGAGAGCCGAGACGAAAGGAAAAAGAGTGGGTTAAAGCGATCCCCTAACCCTAAATCCATCGGGTGCCTGCAGGCGCCCTGTTGTAGGGACACGGGGAGCTCGCGCGGGGCTGCTGCGCCCCAGGCGCCCCGTCCCCATCTCAGGGACAGGCACTATTACCAGCCAGGGGCCCTGCGAGGCAGGAGGTGCTCTGCGACTGTCAGCTCAGCTGTGTTTTTATTATGGGTTGCTGTTTACGGTCTACAGAGATGAAATGGGTGAGGGAACTGGGTGTTAAACAGGCGACGATGGGAAAACCAGAAGAAATTCCACATCGTGGTGACAAAAAAGACAAAAAAAACCTGCCAGGAATGCTGTAAGTGCTTGACCCGGTGAAAAGGCTTAGCTTTTTCCCCTTTTTAGATTTTTTTTTGATTAAAGTTTCAGCTTTTGATGGAAAAGAGGAGCTAAAATGTCCATGGATTGAGGTCAGTATTGGTATCTGTGCCCTCCTTTCTCTGAATCGCTGAGAAAAGGACATGAAAGGATCCAGCCTCTTTTACAGAGTAAAGTGGGTTTTTCTCAAAAAAAAACCCAAAACCCCAAACCAAACCAAAAAAGCTAACAGAAAATGTCCCTCTTTTTGAGGAATTAGGATCACAGTACCCTCTGCTAGAGCTGTGGCTAAAATCACGGCACGAGGAGTTTCTTGCTTTGATGTATAGAGATGTCTGTGCCAAACCCGATTTCTTACACATCAGGTTTTCTGTTAAAAAAGCTCAAGAGCAGTCATGCAAAAGAGCTGATCCTTCTCATCTGGCCAGCCTTGGCATTGCTCACACAGAGCTCCTGCTCGGGGCCGATAACCGCAGCCTCCCCGGCTGGCCCGGAGCCCAGCCCCAGCCCCGCCGGGTCCTGCCGGAAGGCTCCACGGGGGTAACACCGCTAATGCTCTTGGATCCCTCTGCCTCCATGGTGCTCTGCTGCTGAGAAATGTTCTTATCTGCTAGAGAGAAGCTCACTTGGGCTTGAGATTTGCTACGGTTGAAGGCAGCTGATCTGGGAAATCAGCTGCGCTTACATGGACGTGCATGGCTAGGTGAAGACACAAGCTCATGAAGACCACGAGATTTGACAATATGCTTGAAGTAAGAGAAGCAAAATGTTTTCTGGGAGAAGGCTCTTGCATGAAGATCTGCGTGAAGAATTTGGGAACAGTTTCACACGCTGTGCGCAGAAGCAGGAGGGTATTTTATGAAAGGGAAGTTGGTCGTTCAAAGGCATAAAGACTCAGATGCTGGATTCCTTCTGTGAGAGCAGAGAATCAGTAATGCCAGTTTGGTTTAAAACACGCCCTGGGTTCTGCTGCTGCTCTGCTAAGTGTTGTGGATTAGTTAAAAGCATGAGTGAATTAAGGGGATGGAAACAGTCAGTGCTCCAGCACACAGCAAGCAAATTTGTGGATGCAGTCTTCTAATAATTCTCTGTCAGCAGAACTAATGGACATCAGAAACTTCCATTTTATTAACAGTATTTTGTGGAACCTACTTGTGATGTGGAAAGTCCGCTTGTTTGACTTATAGCCTTGCATCAGATAATTCTTTTTAACTCCAGGGTAACTTTCTAACAATGCTGCTTTTTCACAAGGCCGCAAGGGCTTCACCCTCTGAGCTGTGGTCAGCAAGGCAGGGGCGAGCAGGCTTAAGTGTGTGCTTGGGTCTAAAGCCTGGGCTTAACGTTAGCATGAGCTAACTTCCAACTTCTAACGGCATTGCTGAACACCTCGGGGCGAGATATTCTCCACCTCTGATTCAGATCCCTGTTGGATCTGGCACTGTGATAACTCCCAGCTTCCAGAACAGCGCCTCGAAGGAATTTAGAGCATTTCTGGGCTACTCTTGAGATTTGGGGAGGACTGGTCTTGTTCACTTGGGGCTGAAGTGCCCCAGAAACAAGCTATATTTGTTTTCCTCCATGTAGTCAGCTCAGAGCTTAGCTACGTGCGTACGAGGGTCTGCCTCCCTCAGTGAACTCCTCTCCTGGCCTGGGATAGCTTGGGAAGGAAAAGTTATATCCAAAATGACATTCCTTCTTGGTCCAGTCTCTCTACCATCAGGAGTGTGTAAGAATATTATTTCAGAGTGGGGTTACTGGGAGACTTCAGTGAAGACCCACAAAACCAGGTCCACAAAATGTGATCAGGAAGGACTGAAGGGTGCACGTTTGCTTCATGGTGAAAAGGGAAAAAGTAGGAGGGCATGATAAAAATCTTCCTGTATAGAGAAACACTGCCAAAAGAGGATGGTGATGAGCTGCTCTACAAGCCATCCAAAAGATGGCAAGCTGCAATCTAATTTGCAACCAGAAAAATTTGGGGTTGGCATTATTGCTAGCTTTCTACTGTAAAGACTCCGAAGTTTCCATTATTAGATCTTTTTAGACAAACGTGTCAGGAATATGTTAGTTCTGTCTGGACCAAGTAGATGAGTAGGTGGCTGAGATGTGTTGGTAGTGACAAACATCCAACCTTTCCCCAGAGAGGAAGCCTGCAGATGTTCTGAATTCAGATGGAGTCGTTCAGCTCCACGGCCACAGACCATTCAGCCCAAAGCAGTAATGATGGATCGCTTTTGCCTATTCACAGGGAAAAATCAAGTGCTCAGAGATAGGGACCTCTGGTTAATAATCTGTTGGCCTGCCCAGAAATGTGACACTTGGTACTCCTGGTTCACAACTACGTTTCCTGACAAAGAGATCTGCTTCTCTGTCTGTCGGCTTGATTCATTTGGATGTCTCCGGTGAGCTTAAATAATTCATGACAATAAAAGTTTATTTTTATGCTGTCTCAGAATGGTAATGAGGGTTTGTGGAAGCTGGCGAGATGCAGTGGGAAGCGGCGGGGTGCAGTTGCAGCCTTTGCATGGGTGATGTAGTCTCATCATTAGCAGGTCAGATGCCAGGCAGCCAGCAGAAGCGAGAGCTTCTTGCGTGCTGCCCTGTTGCAGAGCCTCTGCTCTGATCTCCAGGTATCACTGAGGCCTCCTTCTCCCCAGCCAAGCTCAGGGCACGGCTTGCTGTGGCTCTTCTCTGTTGGCACTATGGGTTAAGAAGCGTGGGCGGCCAGTGCACGAGAAAATCAAGCACCTTTTTTTCTATCTGCATTTGACTGGAAGCTTTTCCATGTCCAGATCCTTGATGTCAGCGAGCCTGAGAGCAAAACCGGGCACCTCCTAAACTAACATGACAAAAATTTGCAGTTTGAGCTGAAGCAGCCAAGCTGTGGGACCTGCTGCCTGCACGCTGGAGGGCGGATCCTGCAGCCCCTCGGCGCCTGGCAGCGGGTGGTGGCCAGGAACCGCACAGGGGGGAACGCGATGGGTTGTGGAACAGCAAAGCCGAGGAGAGCCTAACAAACCCTGTGCGTTGGTCTCCCAGAGACCAGTTACCCATTTGTAATGGTTAAGCTCACCGTGTCTTTCGGAGAGGGTTTGTGTCTGAGGGTGATGCCGGGAACCAGGACGGGGCTTTAGGGGGTGTGCTGCCAGCCCCACGCCGGCAGGTGCTGGCTCGGCACCGAAACCGCCCGTGGGGCAGAGAGCAAACAGCTTAGTCTTTGCTGGCAAAGAATTTGGTTTTAAGTCATCCTCACCCTGTAAGTGGACCACTAAACACAGTGGGGGGGTGATGCTATGGCATTTATTGAAATAAAACTTGCAGGGAAGCAAATGGGAGCTCTAGCTGTGCCTTGCTGCCCGCGATACACGACAGCATCAGCCTGGATGGGAAGCACTCCGTAATCCCCTTGCTACGCATTCCTGTACAGCCAGCTTTTTCATTACCTGGATACTCAGGAAAGCAGATAGTCAGCGGAGATTTCTTAATTTTCTCCTCAAATATGTCCTTCTTGTTTAGAAAGAGGATGATAGACGTATCTGTGAACCATTTGTTGTTGCAGATGCTGTCAAAAAGCTTCAGTGATTCGTGCATGCGGTTCTGCAACAGAAAGGAGAGATCACATCAGGCCAAAGATAGCGACCTGGGGACATTCAACACGTAGGGAATTCTAAACCAACTAAATTAAGGAGGAAAACAAAAAAAAAAACCAACAAGAAAAGCTACAATATACATAATAAATTTATGTATACATACAGCTGAACATATACATACACAGATGCAACGCCTATAACATTTGACATACAGTTAGTAACTTAAGGGCATTTAACTATACAGAGCTGTTCTGATTTGGCATAGCATATAATTTACAGGATCCCAGCTCACAGAAATCATCATGCACCATGCATGGATGGGGAGTTATTTTTGCCCTTCAATCAGATTTATGTGTTGGTGTAGCTCATGCAGATTTTCCAATAGGTTTTCATTAATTTTTAAAATTTTTTTTTTTTTTTTGCTTTCTCGAGTGTGTGCGGCACACAACTGGTTGGATACATTAACCAAGGACTGGTAGATCCTTGAATTAATCTAGAGTTGGAAGCAGACATCAAGGTGACATAATTTTGGAAATGACCTTGCCGTGACCTTTGCCTGGTTTTGTTACTTGGTTTAGTGTTGTCTGTTGTTGGGCTTTTAATTTTTTAGAGTTTTTTTTTAGTTCTCTTGGAAGATGGCTTAATAGAAAGTGTCTCGCAGAGAGGGAAAAAAAGTGAAAAAGGAAGAGGAAATAGTATAAAAAGGAAAGATGTAACAAAGGGCATCTAAGGAGAACCAGACTAGAAGTCAGGCAGCTACCACTGATTTTAGCTCATGCCTCTAGAAGAACATTAGCTACTCGCCAGCAGAAGAGCCACAGGTTCAAATGCAGGCACAGCGAGAAGTCAGCTTTTTGGTTACAGGTCATGCAAAAAAACGACACAGGAAAGGAGAAAGATAAGAGGAATGAAAAAACCAGACCAGTTAGAGAGTTGCAAAGTCCGCCACATGGTTTTATGGTGGTGGAAAGAGCTCACGGCAAAGTCAACCAAGTGTCATGTTCCCTGCTGCTTTCAACTCTCAACTCGGTTTTTCTTTTGTGCTTTTTTTTTTTTTTTTTTTTTTTTTTTTTCTTGGTTCAAGAGAAGCTTCATACCTGCCAAATTTGGTTGGTCTCTCAAATGCTCATTTTTTGGCCTTTGTTTGGCTAGATAAGGTCAGACGGCCGAGGAAAAGCTGTGAAGGTGCCGAGGCTGGCGATGTTCGGCGCGCGAGGCCGACGCCGGGGCGCGCACGCCGGTCGCGTGGCCATCTCTCAGCCGGGAGCCGGGTAGCGGAGAGAGCAGGCGCGGTGAGGACGAAGCACACCCAAGAGTCAGGGGGTTATCAAAGGCAACGCATGGTACAGACCAGACCGGCTCCTCGGCTTTTCCCAGCGGCATCTCCTTGGGACAGCACTCCCCAAACCCGCTGGTGCACATACGAGACTGGTTACAGCGACCGCAGGAGAGACGCTAGAGAGAACAGGGCTGCACGGTCTCGTTGCTGGAGGGGTTTTTGGGGTGGGTGCAGCGTGTCGTGTCCCCCCCCCCCCCCCCAGATTTGGAAATTCAGAGTGGTGCAGGAGACAGCCGGGGGCTTTCACCCCTCTCCCGCTCCGCTTCACGCCCGCGCTGGCAGCACAACTGAGCCCAGCACTTTATTGATTAGTGCTTTCCTTTTCATTGATATACTTCAGCGGCCGCTGAATGTTCTACTTAGGTAAAAGTGGCTCCGTGGATGAAGGAAACATCTGATCTGACCCGGAGTGAAACAGGACGCCCAGGATTTGCTGCACCGTACACCACTCGCTTTGCTCCCAGACTCGAAACGGCCGAGCACCTCCCCACCACGCACTGTACGGCACACGGGGAAGACGCGATCATGTACAAATGTAAAAATGCATTTACTCAGTGGGTCTCAGTCGCAAGAGGTTGCTGGTTTGGATCATCCCGTGCCTGTGTGCTGGTTTTTGCTAACCCATTTTGTACTGGCTGGTGTGGGAGCCCCGGAGCAATGCTCCTCGTTGCTACTTGTGGTGTCAAAACTGTAACCACGTAGAAGCCTGCAAAGGTTTTGTACAGGAGATACTTGGCTACCAGAAGCCTTTGGGATGAGAGAAGCAAGTGGGGGGCGGTCAGGGGAACAGAAAGCAAATATAATTAACCTTTTTTCCAAGGGGGGTCCCTCACGGAACGTTTTTGATGACATTTTTACCACCCTTGCCAATTTCAAATAAAAGCATGGCGAAACACATGGATGCTGCTCGTGGGTTAAGCCATGGGCCGGGCGGTGAGCGCACGTACCCCGCTGCCCCTCGCCAGCCCCGTGCCCCGGCGCGCAGCCCCGGCGGGGAGCAGCGCGGGGAGCGCGCCGGGCCACGTCGCGTTTGGTTAAGAAACAGAAGCTGAGGATTTCTCCCGGGCTGAGCTTCACCGTTAGGTGCTGACCCTCCTACAGTAGCAAGACTACGTAAGGATCCTACGGAAATCCTTCTGCCTCTCTTACATAGCTTGATAAACTTGTCTTAAAACCTGTTAGGAAATGAGAGTGTTTTCCCAAGAACTAGTGACTCTTGGTGTTCAGTTGTAACCAGAACATACACATAGCACAAACCAACACATCCCTGTAGAAGATGAGAGTTACAATAAAAATCCTCTATTCCTCTCAGATTCCAGAAACAAGTTCCAAAGTTTCCTAAGGCTGCCTGACCTGGCCTTCCGATCTCTACATGTTGATTTTTCCCCCAGCTCTGCCAGTCAGCTGAATAAATATAACCACTGCTCTGCCCACGCATCCTTATTTACCCGGGAAAGGTTCTGGTCTTAAAATCCACCTTTCCTCCCCCATCACTAAAGAGAAGATGACATTATTCAAAAGCAAGGAGCCGCTCTCTGTGCATGGCAAGCATACCCTGGTGAGCAGGTACAGATGCTCCTGTTGCTGTGCCAGGGTTCCACGTGGGAATTGCTGTCCCATCCCAGGAGGGCTCCCGGGAGCTCACGCGTGGATGTAAGCTGTCCCGGTGCCAGCTAACACCCCCCTTTCCTTCCCCCTTCCAGCTGTTATTACTTTAATAGGTGTTTGTAGGAGACCTCCAACAGCTCAGGCAGGCCCTGGCTGAGACGCGAGGATGGGGAGGCAGTCTCTGGGTACCACATGTAAAAGGACTGGCTGTGACTAAAGGAGGAGTGAGAAGTTAAAGCCCCCAAATAATCCTCCCCTCTTAACAGTAAATCCACAGTGAAAGACCCTTTTAGTCCCTTAAAGCTTCCCCAGGGCCCCTCCCAGGAGCACCCGTGCTGCTGTGATGGGGCAGACGTGCCTGCTCTGCTAGGAGGTGTTAGAGATGACACTTCTCATACTTTTATATGAAGTGATATAAATTACTTCATCTGCTTTTGGACCCACCGTGCTGCTTTTTCCTACTTTGTGTTGGGTCTATCATTAACGGAAGGGGTCTTGAAACATTGGCTTCTTAATGTCACTGCCTATTTTGAAATCAGTATTTTTCTTATACCTCAACAAAGAAAGCAGCCCCACCAGCCACGTTACAGAGGAATAACCACTCACCCATGCAAATTAAAAGTCCAATTAACTTTTCCTGCGCAGGACAAGAGACAGAATTGCTTATAGCAGAGTTCAGATGTCATTGCACAACCGTGTCCCCACCGGCGATGTAAAGGGCAAGCAGCTTTCTACTGAGCATGAGGGAGAAAGGATGCTGTGGTCAAGACTCTGCCCAGGCAGAAACACAATCATAAGACCCATCTTTTTTTCACCAGAGCATGGGAGGAGACCTGGTAATTTCTGCAACACACAGTCAATTCAGTCTTTTTTGTTTTCCTTGGTGATTAAGTGCCAACTGTCATGTGAACTACAAGGATGCTGATAGTTATCCTAAGCACAGAAACTCCATATTCCCCCTCCTGCTTATATTTCCTAAGATGTCCAAGCCACTTTCAATTGCCACTCCTATGGCAATTTCTGAGCGCTGCAATTCAATTTTCTTTGCCCAATGATAGCAGAGAGAGCACGCTAACCAGGTCATGCAATGAAATACGAACCAACAGGCCAACACTAATGCACACCAAGGGTCACCAGCACAGCAGCTTCAACCCATCCCATGCTCAGCAATGGGGACACAAACAATACTTGAATGTCTTGGCTAGATACGGGTGACCTAAATATCTTAGTTTCAGAGGCAGCAATGTGCAACACGAACACCTCCCTCTCTTGCCATGGCTCCTTTGAATTTGCAAGGAAAAAACCAAAGAAAATAGTCTCGGTTCCTGTGATAGGTCCCATGTCATTGTTTTCTTCTTTTAAATTCCATTAGGAATCCCAGTCAGAAGGAGCAATGCAAATCTACCTTTGCTAATCATCTTCTCCAGTTTTACTGATTAACATGACTGCTGTCCCTCTCCTCCCAGATTACAGATCTGAGGCTTTTTCTCCTGTAACCTCAGTTTATGAAACACAAAGGTAAGTCACAAATGAGACAAAATAGCCTTGTTATCTGAAGACATAACCCATGGAGTTGTTCGGTCAGTCAAAGCAGGATGTTCCCACCGTGTACAAACATGGCAGAGAGCCCTGCAGCTCCTCGTGACGGGCTCGGTAAAGGCAGAGGCAGAGGTGGGTGTAATACCTTGAAGGCAGCGTCTCGTGCATTGGATGGGCTGGGCAGAGGGTGTAATTTTGCCTCATGAGCTCCAGCTGTGGGCTGTGGCTGGCAGCGATGGGACTGATGAAGTCACTGCTTGAATCTCCCTGTAGGCTTGCTCCTCTCCCCTGGGAGCCAGGCTCACAGGGAAGCTGTTTAGATCTGCCAACAGCATCGTCAGAAGGTGTTTGGGAGAAGAGCTGGATGCAACAGCACTGGGGGCTTCTATCCAGAGCATGGTCTTTATGGGCGTATGGGCTTAGAAATCACAGATGCAGAAAGTTCTCTCTATTTTATTTATGACTTTCTGATCTGGACATAGAGAAGTACTTGCTTTCCTTAATTACCGTCGTGCTGCTCTTTGTGGCAGGGAATTGGAGAGAAAATATATCCCTTATAAAAGACTACCTGCTCTTAGGGAGTGATGGCTTCGCATACAACAGCCCTTTTTTAGCTGCTGCAGGAGGATGGGTGCTCAGTCTTTTAACACGAAGAGCATAATAAACCATAAAAAAAACTTTACAAGTGTAGCGCTGTGCTTTAATTTTCAGGGCAGGCACAGGTCAGGGGGCATTTCACCCAGCCTTATTTAACCAGCTCTTTTGCTCAGTTTCATCTGAAAGGGTTCACAGTAAACCTGTTGTTTGTGAGCTTTTTTCAGTCAGACAAGCTGACCCTACAACTACACTGATCCTAATGCCCTCGCACTAACCGAGCTTAACAAGGCGAGGCCCTGCTCCGTGTGAAAGGCTGACTTTATCCGAACGGCAGTTTCATCTGCCTGAAGTGTGGTCTGACTTAGAGAAGTGCAAAAAGCTCCTGTGAAATCCTGTGATTGCTTTCAACAGGGCGCCGAGCACACAGGAAAAGCTGTTCTCCCTGTGCACCCAGCTTTGCAAGTGGCTTTTTGGGCACCTAAGATGCAGTAGGGCTCCTTCCCTCTCATGGCTCCACACCAGCAATGAAAGCTCTACGAGTTTTCTTTTTCACATTCACAGAGACATCTGTACAGCCCCCCCAAACCTTCAGTGGCTTAATACAGCTGGAAGTGCCCGGACCCTAGCAAGCATCTCTATAGAAAATGAAGATGGAGGAGCAGCACCCAGCTCGCTCTCTCAGCTGCCTCCTCTTTGTGTTTTCTAAGTGAGAAGCAATAAAAGCTGATTTACGTCATTAAAGCCAGCAGATGTGACGGATGCAGACAGACGGTAAATCAGCTGACTGAAGAGATGCTGCTTTTACTGCTGGGTTTGCGGGGAGGAACCACGTTAGCAGGGAGGAGACTGAATGTTTGGGGGTTCAGCTGGGAGAGGGCCAGAGTTTGTGGGTGTTGCGTTTTCCACCTGTCATTTGTGCTGGGGGTATAATAGGGCAGACAAGATCTGACACCATCATTTTTTCCTATTTGCATTGGCCTCGCTCAGGGTTGTTTATTTGGGTTAGGCGGGGGCGTCTTGCGGGCGCGGCGGCGGCGGCGATGCCGAATCCTTTCCCCGATTGCGCCGAATGTGTAAATGAACAGCAGCTGCCTCTGCCCTCCTGTTGCTCAGCATCCTCAGAAAACGCTTTGTGAAAAGGGATTGAAATAGCAGGCAAATGTCAGCGCTGTGCCAGCGCAGTGCAAGCCTGCTTTCCTGGTGCAAAAGGAAAGTTGGAGCTGCACAAATCCCGGTTTCTGCAGTGGGGCACTTCAGGGCGGGGGGGCTGAGCGCAGCATCTCCGGGAAAGATGCTGTAACCTCCCTCTCAGAGGAGTTACAGCTGACATTTAAAAAATGGCATTCGCATTCAAGCCCTTCCATTTTGTGCTCCCTGGCTTTGAATCACAGGCTCTGGCTTGTGTAGACTGGCACCCAAAGGTGACCTGTATTAAAGGCTGCTTTGGCTTCATGGTTTGAGTGTCATAGCCCAAGTTATAACTACAGAGCACCTTGCTCTCTGCTCAGATCACAGCTTTGCTCCCTGCCCCGTGGGTCTGCCCTCTCTCTGTGCATTCTTCTTTATCTCCTCGGTGTGTTTCCGCCGTCTAGCTGCAGAGCTCTGTAGCATTGAGCTAATGGCTGGGTTTTTCAAATCACGTCAGGAGATTTTAGTTCCTTCCCAGTAAATCCTACAGGACTGAGCATCCTTGAGCTTATCAGGGCCAGGCTCAGAGGGAGGTAACATCTGAGGGTTATAAGTAGAGGACACGGGAGGGTGTAGGGCATCTCAGTCAGTCTGGAGGGACATAGTCGTGATGTTAAATCACCCTGAATTCTAGCACCAATATGAGCCAAACAACCAGGTGACTTCATCAAATAGTTTGCTAGAGCTCATAAAGAGGCTAGAAACCACAGCCGCCCCAGTCTTTTTGGGAAGAGACAACAGATACTTAACAGCAATCCTTCCCTCGATTCCTTCCTCATCAACAGCTTTCTGCAAGCCTGACAGCTTTACCGTCAGGAGAATAAGGAGCCTCAGAGACAGAGCTGGCGGTGTGAGCCCTCCATGCTGCCGCAGACTGGGCACAGATGAAATCATTACCGAGTGTGAGTACGGCCTCCAATTCCTTTCCGTTAGATAAGTGCAACTGGGTGCCCTCTGCAGATGTCTTTAGTCCCAAAAGCACGCATCCCTATCACACTGAATGAATAGCCAGAATATAGTAATGAGTCTTCTTGCATCCTTTCTGTGTATTTAATTCACTTGTATTAATTGCACTCTAATACCAGGGAGCGCACAGGTCCTTGCTAGCTTTATTTCCAGATGGTATTTTGAGCCTAATGTCACAGTGGGAAGTCATAAAAGCTCTCCTAGAGCAAATTACCCGAGGAATCAAACAGTTCCAGTTTCACTCAGGAAAATGACTTTCTGTAGCCTGAAGAAGTAGGTTATACTCCTAGCCTGAGCCCGCCTCAGTATGCATGGTCATCCTGCACCTCTGCACCATGGCATGACCGTTTTCTTAACATTTGTTTTAGAAGCCCACCTAGCTAGATCTCCCCTTTCCGGATACAGGGTCCCGCTAGCATGTTTTGAAAACACACAGGTCAGCTAAAAAGGAGAAATAAAACACTGTGACTTTACCAGTGCAAGGAAGCATTACCTGGGCAAGCAGACTTGATTTCGAAGAGTGTGGAGGAGGACAAATCTCCCCAGGATTTCAATGTCGAGGGGGAGCGACTACTGCAGCACCCCAGTGAGCATTCGGCGATCTCTGAGCAGTTGCTGGCTACGCAGTATCCCCTAAAGAAGCGTTGGGGCCTCCAAGACCCGGTTAGACTCACCGTGGTTTCATCTTCATGGAGCACCTGGTCGTAGCCACTCAGCGCGACGCAGAAAATGATTGCTGTGACATCCTCAAAGCAGTGAATCCACTTCTTGCGTTCTGACCGCTGGCCCCCGACATCGAAGAGCCTACGGCACAGGAGAAAGCTGTCAGCACCCGCTTTTTCTTATTTAAGGGGAAACTTCAGCAGTCTTAGCATTTTCTGACCATGTGGCCCCTGGAAGGCTCCAAACACAAAGCAAAGGGTCTTTAACCACTGCCTTGGTCTCCTCCTCCAGAGCCTGGAGCCGAGGAGGCCCAGGAGGAGCAGTTGCAGGGAGGGATGTGGGGATCTGTGGGAGAGCTGCAGAAGCACGCTGGGTCCCAAAGGGTCTGCGGAGGTTCAGACTCAGCTCCTGAGTTTTATTTGCTTTAAATGCCGCGTGTGCGGCTTGGTGTCTTCATGCCCTCTTCTTTCTGCTGGCTGGCATCATAAGGTTCAATATGTAGCATTAACCACATGCGATTGATCCACTTTAAAGAAAAGATTTGGCCAAATATTTTTACATTTACGAGCTTGATCAGACTTGGGGCCAATCTCATATTATACCTCCCAACAAAGCGGTGTCGTTTGGGTTAGGAGAAGATACCGTAAGCTCCCATTTTCCAAGGCAGTGATTTTTCAAGGTGGGATTGTCAAACACTGCATAATGTTGACCCCCCAAAATGCTACGTCCTCTGCAGTGGGAGCCATCCCTGTGTTAACCAGTAATTTAACAATTTCTCCTTTGGGAGCTTTGGGGAAACCCTGTGACAAATAGATGCCCTGAAAATTTACTGGTACATGCAGTTTTAGACTAACCTGAAGTGGAGGTTTTTGAATGTGAAGTGGGTTTCTACAATGCCAGTTGTTTTGACCCTGGTTCGGAGGATATCCTGCTCCGTGGGCTGGTAGTCTGCAGCTCCGATTCGATCTAAGCTGTCTAGGTAGCTAAGAGAGGAAGAGAAAAGAAAAAGAAAACAGATAAGACGCACATTAATCTTTGTCAATCTCAGATGAATCCTTCAACTTCCTATTAATCTTTTTCAATCCCATTTTTCATGGCTGAATGTAGTTAAAGAAAAAAAAAATCCTATTCTGGGGAAAAAGAAATGTTAACAAATCCCACTAACCTAGGTATAAAATCTGATAGTGAACTGAAAGCAGGAAATTAAGTGTGTGTGTGTTGTGAGCCCTCATTGCAATCTGGAAAAATACACAGTTTTAATATGAAGGTCCCAATCAGTCCATTGTGCTGGATTCAACACACACACATGCTTTTCTGCAAGGGTTTATTCAGGTAAGAGGTTGGAGCACATAGGTCTCGCTCCCAGAACAGACAGGTCGAGTCACTTTGGGGAGATGCCTGCCTCTCTGCTGGGACGGGGGGGAGACGGGGCGGCTCGCGCCGACGCGGTGCCGTGCCTTCAGTCAGCTCAAATGAAGGGAGATGAATCTGCCCGAGTGAGTTACTGCTGCCGTGTGAAAGCCAGCACAGGGCTGGGACTGTGGGAGGTGCGGTGCTTGGACAAAATCCAGGGGCCTGCTTAGATGGTGATAATCTGGGAGTATAAACCGTTTGGGTTTTTTTTTTTGGGGGGGGGAGGGTAGAGGGATGATTTAGCTTTCTAAAACATTTGGATGGTTTTAAAACATTTGCCCTTATTCTGCTTCAGGCTTAAAATCTATGAACATAGGCAATGCCCCCACAGGCTGAAACTTTGGGTAGGAAGTCCCATCTTTCGGCATGAAATGTTTTTGTAGAGGAACCCAACAGCTGCACACATATGACCGCAATCTATTTTTTCAGCCACATTCAGGACAATTTTTCAAAACAACTCAGCCCAACTAAACATAATTTATAAAGAAAAGAGGAATTTGGATTACAATGTAATATGAATTACAAACACAGAGCTGCATCACACAGTCAAGTCTTTCTCATTGCCATTGATATGAACACAGACACTCCAGTTCCTCTTACAGGGGGTCTGATGGGCATTACGGGATCTAAATGCCCACCTCCAGCCCCAGGAGCACCCGTCTAATGCACACCAGACGCTTTCGGTATACTGTGCATGTAATAAAGCAGGTCAGTGCATGAGCAGTGCTCTTGCCCTTCGATCTCTGTGCTTCTGGCAGCCTGGATGTCACCCGAAGAGGCAGCGGGGCAGAGGGTGACATGCCGGGGGGCAGGACGGGAGGGGACTCGTTCAGGTGTTAGCCAGAGGGTGGCAGCTTTGCCCAGTGCAGCTTGCAGAGAATAAAGATTAGTAAGAGGAGCTGTGCAGTTGTAGGGAAGGAAAAGACATTGCTGTCTCTGGGGAGTATGAGTTGACTGATGACTGCAAGAAGGTATGAGAACCATTCACATAAGAGAGCCATGATGTCTAAGCTTGACTTTCTCTTTCAGTTTAGCAAAATGCATTTTTTTTTTTTTTTTTAAAACACGGAGTGTGGATTTAGTCCTGATGAGCAACCCAATCACACCAGCTTGGTGGTGAGCACGCTGTGTCTGAACGTGCTGCCCTGTCCTGCTGCTGGAGATGCTTTCCCCGCTGCATCAGAAAGCAGGAGAGGCCTTTCCATCCGTGTCCTGGCAGGAGTGCCGAGCCAGGGCCCCGGGGCAGGGTGCCCAGGGGCTGTGCATGCTGCTACCTGACAGCTCACTGCCACCGGCTTTCATGCCTGCCCCACTAGCCTGGAAGGACAAACAGACAACCAAACCCTACAACAACAAACCTCACCCTGCTCGCATCATGTGTTTTGGCTATCCATCATATTTATCATTCATTTTTGCTAAAAAAAAAAAAAATCACGTCACCTAGAGAAAAGTATATAAGCTAAGCAGGCTTATTTTTGTTGTGCCCTTTTTTCAAGCATTTAAAGCCATTGTGGGTTTGTGACAGATGCTCCCTTAATAGCCTTATGATGGGCCCTGGATGGATGAATGGGGCTTCATTTGAGATCAGATCCTCCGCTGTGACGGCTGAAGCCACGATCACTCATCTATTCACAATTGGTGTCAACTCCTGTTATTTAAGAGACAGCTGCATTTCTTCACATGTTCCCGCAGACGGAGGCAGCTCTGCAGTGCTGTTATTCAGAGACCCAGGCTGTCCTCTGGATCAAAATACTTCAAGGTGATGGTAAAAAGCGAAGGTGTAAGAGAAGGAAGGATTTTTCCTTTCCTCTTGCAGATCTCGGCAGTACCCTGAAGACCTTTATCACTTCCTCCATCTTAATTTTCTGCATTTTCCTGTGATTCAACTCTCTTCAATTTAACGTTCCCTATTAATTATTCTTGCCTTTGAGATCCTCCTTTAATGCTGGGACTGCAGCAAATGAAGAAATCTACTGCAAACTGGCCAAAGGACTCAGCAGCACAGTGATAGAGGATTTTGTTACTCTAATTACTGCCTTCAACCTGTGATGACTTGCTTGTCAACAGCAGCATCCTCTAAACCCCAGGCTGTGTATTGGGACTTCAGGGGGTTCTCACTTTCGCTACCAGTGTGCACAGCCTACGGCTCTTCCCCGCAGCGTTCCCTGTGGCTGCCTGACAGCACATTAGCTCCAGATTTGACTCGATCCTGCACACAGCCTGGTTCTGAGGCTTGGAAAGCCTCGCCTCCTTGTCCGAGGCGACGCACCTTGTGTGTCCGGCTCCACCTGAGTTACCCTGGGGGATCAGAGGTTTGGGGGAGCTGATGCAGCCTGCCAGCCTCTTGAGGGGGCAGGATGATAGCGGCAGAGGGAGAAGAGCCAAGCAGGATCCACCCCATCCACCCTCTCCTCCCTTACAGCATCCAGCTTCCAATCCCATTGGGATATCTCCATAGGAACCTCAGCTGGGGGCTCTCTAGCATCTGTCTGGACATGGGCACTGCTTCCCAGCGCTTAACTGGTGCTGTGACAGAGGAATACTCAGTATCCCCAATACTCAGACTGTCCTGGCTTCAGGTGAGCTGAGCTCTGCGAGTCCGGTGCCTCGGGGTCACTCCCACGCTAATGCATCCAGCCTGGCTGCCGGGCACCCCAGCTCTGATACCTCCTTGCCAACACACCCTTTGCCTCTTCTATTAACTCCCCTCCTCATCTCTTTCCTCATCTCTAGTCTTTTCCATCATTCTCCATCTGTTTCTCAATGACTTACATTCCTTCAGTTGCCTGGGTCTGCTTTTCGTCTGTTCCTGGTAGTCTCGATGAGGGTCAGCCATCAATTTATATGAAGGTATACAACAGTCTCAGTGCTGGTTTAGAGGCTACATTCCAAAACGGTTTACTCCTCTGGCTTCTCTCCTCTGGAATTTCTCCCATCTCAGACTGCAGCAGGTATTTTTTTCCCCTCGACTTGGCCGCAGCTGAGCTGGACCCCGTTGGTGTGTGCACCCCACGAAGCTCGGCCGGAGGAGCGTGCGGTGGCACGGCTGCCGTGCCAACATCCAGCTGCAGGAACGGGAAGCTCAGGCAGGCTGTTTGGGTGCTGAGCTGATTTTAGCTGCCGTTTGGATGCTGAGCCGATTTTAGCTGCTGCTTGTTCTCCTTGGTTCCTGCTGGAGGTCTCGCTGGGGCTTCACCAGAGCGCTGGTGCTCCCTGCCCATGCTGCTCGGGAGGACCTGCTGGTCTGCTGGGTGTGAGCCTGAGCTGGGGAGGACGAGATGTGTTGGAGGTGCTGCCTCTTTGGGAACAGGGAAATGCAAACGGGGACAAATTGCTACACACGGCGCTGGGTGACAGCACTCCTAGTATGCCCTTTGAACCGCAAACCTCAAGGCCAAACCGTTGCTGGAGATAATTAGTTGTCACAGCCAACAGGCTCGATGACACATAATCCCCTCAGAAGCTGGCATCTGTTTAACCAGCAGAAATAAAAGCACTTTGGAGGCCACAGAGCGAGTGCTCGGCTCTCCCCCTTCCACATCATCTTCGTTGCACAGTGCTGGCGTCACAGCTCCTTCCACTTCCCAGCTCTGGGGTTTGCATGCTGGAGTGGAAGCATATCTGAAACGACACATCATCTCTTATCTGCAGCCTGCTTTGCCCAGAGCTTGCAGGGGTTAAAAAAAGCTGAAGAAAGGTTAGAAGGTTTTTGAGTACACGAGTAACCCTCTAGCATTTATACTCCTGAGCTCCATTACTGCTTATAGATCTTAAATGCTTTGTTTTGAAGCAGATTGCGGGTTTCTGAGCCACTCAGTTTATCAGGCTCAGAGAGGTGAAGCCCAACTGTACGACGCTGCTAAAACCAAAATGCACAAGAAATGGCATTTCCCAAATACAGGGAGAGGAACTCGTCGAACTGAGGCTACAAAAGGCAGATGCCCTATAAGGACCAGCCGATATTGAATACCTTCACAGAGTAATATTGAAAATAGGGAGAAAATAAGAGTTTCTTGCTCCTTCACTTGCTGTTTCCAACAGCGTGTGGTAGCAGCATTGTTGATGCCAGAGACACTGCATGGAGAGAAGACTGTTGTCCGAGTTATCCCATGGGAACAGACCGGCAGCAGCAGCCTACGTGCAGCACGTGGATGGGGATCCCTCCCCAGGCACTCTGCTACCATGGGAACCTTCTCCCAGGACTGTACTGCCTATGCCAAAGGCTCCGCTGCCTGCTTTCTTGGATGAAGAAGTGTAGCTGAGGTTGGAGGCTGTGGTCAAAGCTGGATACCTGTGGCAAAGCTTACACAGATGCGCATTCACGTCTGTTGAGGTTAAGGGCAATAAAATGGTTAAACGTCTGTTGGGTTTTTCCCTTCCTTGGCAGCCTTTTTGCAGGCAGCATCCAGCCGGCGCTGTGCACACCCGGGGTGCTCGCAGCGCGCCGACGCCGAGCTCACGTCCCCAGTGCTTGGCGAGCAGCAGCCGCAGCCTGGGCCTTGGTCTGGGGCAGGTCTGCAGGCAGGGGAGTGGGAACTGGAGGAGAGCAAGTCTGGAGACAGCGGCATCT